GAGACATATACAGATAATTAGTACTGTCAATCACTCTGGCACGAGACATATACAGATAATTAGTACTGGGAATCACTCTGACATGAGACATATACAGATAATTAGTACTGTCAATCACTCTGGCACGAGACATATACAGATAATTAGTACTGTCAATCACTCTGGCACGAGACATATACAGATAATTAGTACTGTCAATCACTCTGGCACAAGACATATACGTGACTCACACTTACCTCTACATATCTGGGTATACACAATGTACTTGTGTGAATATCAGAACATCCTTACATATATATGATGGTATTTTGAGCAAATGGATAATTGAAAACGAAAACGTCGACATTGAAGATGGTGAAGACGAATTTCATTTCATCGTGAAGTGTCCTTTGTTTTCAAACTTACGAGTCAGATACTTAAAGTCTTACTATTTCCATCGTCCTGGTGTGTTAATAACGTAAAAGAGTTATCTTATCTTGACAAATTTATTAGACTAGCATTTAAGCATGTTTCCATAGTGTGTTAATGTATCAATTTACAATTGTCACTCTCCTGAACAACTGCATGAACGTTGTACAAATTGTAACTACATGTATCGTGTTACATGTCATGTATCCCATAGGCCGTAAGGCTTACAGAATAAATTAATTGAATTGAAATTGTTTGTCAAATTGTTAAAAAGTGAAATCAATCTCTGACCAATTACTGCGTCCTTACCAACAAGAGCCGTTTTGTATCCCACGGATTTCGCCACTTCGGCCAGTGTCGTCTCGTTTGGAAGCATTCCTGCCCTGTTTGCAACAAATATGTTCACTCTGATAATACCAGAAGGGACCATACCTGTAAGTATAAGATATGTATGTAAACTCATCATACTCTCCGTCACCATACTTAAGGACCCACGTACCACTGCCAAAAAATGTAATTAGGTATTGGAAACTGTTGTTGTTTTTCCCGGCCTGACTTTAGCATTGATAAATCATTTCTGAAAAGAAAACCATACCTTTCGCACTTTTATAAGGAACAAAAATAAAGATGAAATGAACAAAACATAATCAATAACAATGTCCTAAGTGTAAGGATACCGCAGAGCTAGACTGGGATTCGAACCCTGAACGTCTTATTGTAATACCATTAGTCTACCCGATTGAGCATCACGGTGAATGGAACTATCAAGGCCCAATCGTGCTACCGTTATATCCAGACGGAAGTTTATGGGAGGTTACTGTAGAGTGGAAATTCAGTGTAATGGGACAGGGATCCTTAAGAAATAATCATAACGTTTGCGTGTAACAAGAGAGTGGAAATGTTGGAATAACATATTAACAGGTATATTTTTTCCAACATGTTCTAACCCCGAATTAAGTACTCCACTATAATGATACAATGATATGTTGAACATTGGCCATGATGTAAACGATAGGACTGCAACGACATATCGTGCGACGATATATACAGCTCCAGCTCGACATGCACATCGAAAGACGTGAATTGTGTGAAACTTTAAAGTCATGCCCATTTCGGAGAGTCTATTTCCAGTTGTAATATTGTCATTAAAAATGTGCAACATTTCTTTTCTCCTTGCATCTTCTGTTACTCTATATGTATCGTGAAATGTATCGTATCGTGAACAAAGTACATGTATCGTGATACGTATCGTATCGTCATGTTAATGTATCGTTGCAACCCTCGTTTGGTTTGGTTTGGTTTAATTTTGTTTAACGTCCTATTAACAGCTAAGGTCATTTAGGGACGTGCCTCCATGTGTGTAGTGTATGCGTGCGTGCATGTGTGTATGCAGGAGACAGGGTATGTTGGTGTGCTTGCCTCCTTGTGATAGCGCGGATCTGATGCCAACTTTATAGTGCTATCTCACTGAAATACCATGCCGAAGGCACCCAGCACAGCATTCCGCCCGGTCACATGATACTGACAACGGGTAAACCAATTGTTGCCATTCCCCTAAATACTGAACGTTAAGCAGGGAATAACAACTACCATTTTTAAGGACTTTGGTATGTCCCGGCCTGGGGACAGAACCCATTACCTTCCTCACCCGGGCGAACGCTCAACATTAAGGCCAAAAGTGAGGTGCTGCCAAGCAAGGCGCTAAGAAATAAAAGGTAGTTAGAAATAGAAAGAAAGAAAAAGATTCCAAATATTTCAATGTATGCAGCAGGTATATTTTGGTAGCTTTTGTGTCCCCTAATAGAGGACACCAAAGCAAATCCCCAATTCTGCAGGGGGTTCCTACATTAATCGCCTCCTACGATACAATGCAGTGGGTAAAAGCAGGTGTATTCTTTTCCCGATCCCCCATCTGCATGGGTGAGCAACCCTCGTAAACATGCTGTAACTCGAAGGTTGTATATTTCTTGATGTGAGGTAGATTTTGGAACAGCGTTGGGCGTGCATGTATAATTAGGATATGTTGTTGGTTTGGTGACACAGGAAAGATATTGTTGCCTTGCCGACATCATAGAATCGTGGATATTTGGATTATGCAAGAAATAATCACCATACGAGCCTATACTATAGTGGCACATATAAAAATGAGGATTTGCAAACGATGGAGAAATAATTAACGGATTATATTTTCCATTAAAGTATACGGTTTAAATACATGTATGTCCATCGTTGTATACAAATATGTTTATTAGATATATTCTACCTCGTCATATCATATCTGTATGGCAAACAACTTTAAGTTGGCGTCACAAACAAATATATTCAAAAACTCAATGTGATATCACAGGTACTAGCCTCGTCTGTCAATACATATATAATATGATTATATCTATAATATGATTATAGTGTAGGTGTATATACATTATACAACAGCAAAAGTATGCGACTGAAGATATTTCCTTTACATAGCTATACATTTAGAAATATTTTTCTCATTTAAAAATCGTTTGCGCAATTTTCTATGACACACTCACACACAGGGACACCCTCACTGGTTCACACACACGATTCACCACCACTGTTAAATAAACCACTAATAAACATAGGTTAACTCAAAAAGGCTTCCGAATGCATGTACAGTAGTACTGGGACGGGATAGGGGTCTGGTGTTGAGTAACTCGCAGTGGTAAATCTATGAGTAACAACATACGAATTCCGTCTAATCCCATTGCACCATTTTATTTTATTTCTATATATGCTGATCATATCAAAAACCTCCTCAAGGACTTTGTTAAACTTTAATTAGTTCATTCTTCACTTAAGGTTACGAAATATTTCCATGTTATATCATATGAATTTTTATGACATTTTTATGTATTCGTTAAAAAGCAATTAAATAAATTTAAACCCAAACGCATATGTGTCTGTAACTACAAGCACCTTATTAAAGACACTTCATAACACCGCTTCTGAGATTACATAAGGATATTTTTATTATGTATTCATACACAGGTGGCTTTTACGACAGTATAGTGTGTTTTTTGTTATAGAAAATTAAACCTATACCGAGATAACTCAAGCTCATTTGGTACCGGATGTACTGTAATAAGGGGTTGGGGGTTCGACAACAGTTTGACAAGCCACCCCTGTGGCTCGGGATCGATTTAAATGTCTACTTTATACATTCGTTTTTTTAATCTTGGCGAAATTGTAACTTAATTAAGATAGGACTATAGACCCACACTATAAAATGCAATCTATCAATATTTGCCGTTTTATACACTTATTTTTACTTCTGTCAACAGATCAATAAAACCATCAGTCTTGGCGAAATAATAATCAGATCCCTGGACTGGCAACAGTCGCGTCGACTGGTCTCACGTTTAGTTCAATCTACTCTGAATTGGTTTGGTCATGTCTGGTTTAGTCCTCTGTCTGTTTTGTGAGTCCGGTTTAGTCTATTTTATTCCATTCTAGTTTAGTTTTGTCTGCACTAAACTAGTCTGGTGTAGTCGCGTTTATTCTGTCTGATTTGGCCAAGTTTAGTCTGATATGATCTGGCCTATTTAAGTCTTGTCGTGTATGGTATGGTCCAGGTAAGTCCTGTTTAGTCTTGTACGGTCTGGTCCAGTTTAGTCTTGTATAGTCTGGTCTGGATAAGAATTGTCTTGTATGGTTTGGCCTAGTTTAGACTTGTTTAGTCTTGCATGCCGGTAATGACCTAGATTAATCTTGTATGGTCTGGCTACTTTAGACTTGTCGGACATAAACTGGTCCAGTTTAAGCTGTATGGTCTGGTCCAGTTTAGCCTAGTATATCGGGTATTGCTTGGTTTTATATTGTATAGTCTGGCCTACATGTGGTTTAGTCTTGTCTGGTATGGTTTGACTAGTTTAGTCTTGTATGTTTTGGCTAGTTTAATTTTGTCTGACATGATTTGTATCAGTTTGGATTTGATAGTTTTGGCTAGTTTAGTCTTGTATGATCTAGCCCAGTTTAGTCTTATATGGTATGGTCTGGCATTGTCTAGTCTTGTATGGCCTGGTCCAGTAAAGTTTTGTATGATATTATTTGGTTCAGTTAAGTCTTGTATGGTATGGTCTGGTCCAGTTTAGTTTTGTATGTTCTGGTCCAGTTAAGTTTTGTATGGTCTGGACCAGTTTAGTTTTTTATGGTCTTGTCCAGTTTGGTCCTTTATGGTCTGGATCAGTTTAGTCTTGTATTGTCTGGTCCAGTTTAGTCTTATTTGGTCTGGTCTGACCTTGTCTAGTCTTGTATGGCCTGGTCCAGTTTAGTCTTATTTGGTCTGGTCTGGTCTTGTCTAGTCTTGCATGGCCTGGCCCAGTAAAGTCTTCTATGGAATGATTCGGTCCAGTTTAGTTTTGAATAGTATGGTTTAGTCCAGTTTAGTTTTTTATAGTATGAAATGGTCTAGTTAAGTCGTGTACGGAGTGATCTGGCCTAGTTTAGTCTTGTATGGTATGACTTGGTGAAGCTAAGTCTACTTTAGACTTTCATGATCTGGTGTAGTTTAGTCCAGTTAAGACTTGTATGGTATGATCTGGTGTAGTTTAGTCTTGTATGGTATGATCTGGTCTAGTTTAGTCTAGTTCAGACGTGCATGATCTGGTCTAGTTTAGTCAGGTTAAGACTTGTATGATATGATGTAGTTTAGTCTAGTTAAGACTTGTATGATCAGGTCTAGTTTAGTCTTGTTAAGATTTTTCTGACCTGGCAACTTAGTCTTTTTTAGTCGGATCTTGTTTTGGTCTGGTTTTGTCTAATCAGACTGAATCTGGCCACATTTAGTCTGTTTTGATTTGAATAAGACTTATCTAGTTTTATTATTCCTTATCTGGTATAATTTTGTCTTTATTTGGTACGACATATTTTAGCCTAATCAATTTACACTGAGGAGACTTAGGTCTGGTCTAGTGTAGCCTTATTTGGTATGATGTGAGCTGGTGTTAATATAACTCCCTTGTCTATCCTGGTAACTTGGCATGTATCATCTTTGATCATTAATAATACATCTAGATGGAGTGAGACTAGCATGATATTTGGAACGTGTAGCTTTCACATTACGACATTTATGTATGTATATATTAATATTCTATAGAACCGGCACGGGTCAAGTCTTGGACCTTACAGCCACGACAGTACACACACAAAGCGCCTCCAGCATTACACACATGACAACACATCAGTAAACGACCTTAGCTGTTAATAAGGAAGCTAAACCCACAGGGACCTGATAATTTGTTATAGCTGTAAATATATATTTGTACCTAAACTAATGTATTCAGAGTACTTTTACATGTTTTAGGGATTTAGATCGACTTTCATATATATATATATACATTTTGGGTGGCATTTTAACCGAAAGTAGATATAAACCCCTAAAATATGTAGAATTACTCTGAACACATTAGTTTAGGCCCAAATATAGCTGTAACAAATCATCAGGTCCCTGTGGCTAAACCCAGTGACCCAAACCACGTACATGTACGTTTGATAGCACATGAATAACGAACCATATCGCGAAAAGGTGCTAGCATTCTCTGTGTACTCTAGTGTTTTGGACTAACAACAACAGAAATGTTTATCAAATGCAAGATATAAGTAGCATTATATATTGAAGGTGTCTTTGACGTATCAAGTTATGGTCCTCATTATTCATTTCTACTGTGTCCGATCAAGCAATCAAGCGTGAACTTCAGACAACTCGCTCTCCCAAGAACTTCGGTTTGAACCTCAGTGGTGGCAGGAAAAGAGTGATGTCTGATAGGGTTTTATAGTTTTTATTCCTCCGGTGGCACGATGGTTTTCCCCCTGGGTTTTCCCCCCATCACGAAAACATCATTTGTTCCGTTAGCGGCGTCGTAATAAATACTAAACAGAGCTTATGTTTGTTTTTGACAACGTACATGGCGGTAAATACAATTTATTTATTTGACTGGTTACTCTATCAAGAAAAATGTAAAAAAAATGCTTCAAAAAAAACGATTTCATGTATTTTCATTGGATGTTTTACAATAATTCATGAAGCTAACAAGGCTATTCATACAAGTCAAGCCAGATTACTTGAGTGAGATCTTGAAGGTGTTTTGAATGGTGTACAGGTAAAATCTCACTTGCTTTGCATGCTTTTTTCCAACTTCATTCAGCCTTATTGGCTTTGTGCTTAGTTATGATTTATTCAATGGAAATATATGGCATTATTCTGGAGATTTGACACATTTTCTTACATTGTTCTCGATAAAAGTGAATACACGGGTACTTCAGGAATGCATGTATTGGTATTTTTTTTCATTAATTTCATTATTCATTGAAATGTTTCATGGCGTTGACATAACGTCCGTAAACGAAAGTAATTCTAAAGTACTGTGTTTGACCAGACTCTTGAATTACAAGTGATCAAGCGTCTGGTTGAGCGAGACTAATTATGGACCATGATGATGTACTAAGGGAGCTAACTCTTTCGTATCACATAACGTCTGCAAATATGGGTAAACATTATACATTCGAAAATAATATTGAAATTTTGTTTTGTAATCTGTAAAGAACGCAAACAATAAATAACTATCAGTACGCAGTCTTTGCTTATAAAGTCACTAAGAACTTATACGAAACACTAGTTTCTATATATGTAAGTGTACAAGATTTTAGAACACATCAGGGATTCTGAATCCGACCTCGGTTTTCGTGGCAGGGCAGTAATCTGCTTTAACTACCGGCCGGGAGCTGTTTTATTTAGTACCTTGTATATGTACATCAGAACGGTGATCTGTGCCGTTCAGGTACCAATTGAAGGGGATGCATTACAAGTTTGACGTGGAATCTCTTATAAGTACAGTTCACTGGTCAAGACGCCGTTCCTTGAACTATCTGAAGACTGTAATTGTTTCAGAGATGACATACACGGATACGTTACCCTGGTCAAGGTGAGACGTTACCAGTGTACCTAGATTTTGCATACATATTCATTGTTTCAAAACTGGGAAGAAGCATTACTTTGCAGTGACAAAAGCGTGTTCCTTAATCGACACATGTTCGAAATTCAAAGATTCCGCTCTCGATATACATATTCCATTTGCTACCTTAAAATGTATCATGACAAAAACTCATTCCGCGACACCTTCCGAATGATACAAGTAAAATTATCTGATGTACTTGATGAAGATCATATAATTTGCGCAACAGCGTAACAGTGAAATTGACAGGTTTGACGATGGGTGTAGCTTCAAAGGCCAGGCATTAACCTGATATCTGGCCTGAATGGTAAAATCCCTTATCTACAGCTTCAAGTCTTGTGTCATATTCTACATGTGTTTGGGTGTCAAAACAACGAGTTTTGAGTTATTTTTATTGATGTTCAACAAATTGGCACTCCTCAAAGTACTGACGTAGGACAAGAAGGCTTAATACTTTTATGGTATCTAAGTTTATGTGTGGTACTATAAGCATGCATATCTGTGTCGACTGGATAGCAGTGATTGGAAGGTCAAAGCGTTCGCAATACTTGTTTTTACCTTACACCGACCACCAGAAGAATCCCAAAATCGTCAGATGTGGTCACCCTTACAGCAATGCACGACCATATAGCGTGTGGCACTCGAGTAAACCTGGACCCAGCTGAGGACATCACCAGTCACTCAATGTACATTAGTTCAAATGCGGCGCTTAAACGTAAGAGCAAGGGTCGATGACGTTAAAAGAAGTCGACAAGTCAAGTTGAACAAGCCTAACTCATTATCCGAGGCCTCAGCGTAATCAGCATGGGCCTTCAGTGTATCAGTAGTGTATGCAGACAGAGGCACCTTAAGGACTGTGGATACAATTTGTCTCCGAGATCTTAGCTAAGTATCGGCACTTTTGGCAGATATGTACTTCTCTGTGTCCGTCCGAAGCTTCCCAGAACAACTGACACAGCAGCTAGTTTAAAGTAATCGAAGGAACCATGAAGATTTAATACCATTGCCTTAGCAGGCATGTACGAAAGTGGTTCCAGCTCAGCGAACGTTGATTGTCGGATTGTGTTTTTAAGATAGACAACCAGGTAGATTAATTTATCCTCCCTGTTTATTAAGTTTTCGGTCAGTCTAAACGTTCAACATTCCACAGTCTAATGTGAATAAGCTGAGCAAAAGCATTAGCTCAGGGATAGTCTATCGCTTCCTCCGCCGTCTTCTATCCACTTCTGGTGCTGCTATATTTCTTTTCGGAGTTCATTCGTGTACAAGGGAGCATTGCTCGTGACTTGTTTGGTGGTTCCGGCTTCAATGCTAGAGTTAAAATATACACGTATGCTTCGGCGATATCTTCTATCCAACGGACCTTTAACCACGGTGCAAGAAGACGAAAAGATTCGATATCTTTGATGAAATTTAGTATCGAAACAGAACAATAGGGACGCTGACTTTGTTTTCGCGCGATCTTGTATACATTAATATATCAATGTAGACCTACAACCAATGGCAATCCTTGAAGAAAAGAGCTCCCTCCCTTTGTGATGACAAAATCGAGTGTTCGATCATGGATGGGTGTTGCCGCCATCATATCTTCCACTACAAAAGAAAACCACCCGTCCTGCTGTATCCCACTGCATGTGTGTCGTAACGGTTTTTTTCTTTCGTTTCTTCTTCTACGCAGGAGACATGGAACACTACAACACATTGACTCTCTTTTGTTTCCTATCTTTTCTGTCTTCCTTTTCTTTCTTCTTTCCCTTCTGGTGGTATCTCTCTGGGAACCATTCCTCCTATGACCCTTGCTCTACCCCCAAACAAACAAACTACACAACGAGCCGTGTAAGTAGCACGGGGAATCGCCAAGCATCAGCAACGGCGGTTGAAATGTCAAGACGAAATTAAGGTCGCCAAGAACCATTCACAATCTCCTGTATTATTATAACTAGTGTATATAAAGTATGAAGACTTCTCAGCAAAGCGAACAGTGTTTTGTAAATGTAGGAGGTCTGTCATCCTCGATACTCCAGGGGTTACAGTCACTTTCGCTCTCTGCACCCCCGGAAATTGAAGGCTCATTGTTTGCTACCTTGTGGATGAGACAAGAAGACTATTTTGTTCCTTTGATAAACATCAACAGAATCTCGCTGTCGCGTAACGGTAAAGTTGACTGACTTTGAAGTCGGGTGTGGCTCCTCTGTAAACTTCAAACGACAGGTTTCAGCCTAGCGATTAGTCAAGATATTTTTACCTAAGACCTATCAAATATGTTGCTTTGTGCCTTCGATTTTGATTTGAAATATTCTAGGGGTGCAGAGAGCGAATGTGGGTATAGCCCCTGGAGTATCGAGGATGCGGATCAATATGATGCAGTCTGAAATGTGTGTTATCGGTACTTATAGAGCCGGAGATGTGCTTTTTAAGGTCATTGCTCATCGTCATGGGTAGACTTAAAGTCCAGCTAGCCCAACATCAGTATAATCTGACGTGCAACGAGGAGGAAGTCGAACAAGGCTTTTACAAACGCAGCTTAATCTTAGTCATTGATACGTATACGTGTACATAACTAGGTATATGTCAAGCCCAAAACTTAAAGGTATCAATCGGGCCTGCTTTTAATCATTCGAGGTTGAGTTTCACTTTCCCTTAACATTAACGATCACAAAGACTAGACATAAATGTACATAGCTTCATTTGGATTTAAAGTGACTTATTATATACACGCCCGCATTTTAAACATGTTTTTGAATGCCCGCAATTATTATAATGATTCTCTAACTGACGCTACACGTAGTTTCAAATTGTTTCAGCATGCTTATAAAGTGGACTAGTTCCTGCGTGATACCGTAGGAATAGTGAGTCTTCTACACGTTGGTTATTCTGCATTGGATTCCCGCCGATTGAGAAGATTTAAGATTCCTTATCAGCTATTAAACCTACAGCGATTTCGATTTCAACTAATTAATGGAGTCGAATGGTTCATAATAGTTGGTGATGAATCTAAGCTCTTAAGACAGGGACATCCCACGTGATACCCGTGCTAGATTTCTGTATTCTGCCCGATCTGTTTGGCACCTTTCTGCGACATTGACAATCTGCATTATAAATATAATGTTTTTTCTCAGACAAGGGCTAAGATTCTGTAACATAGTCCTAGCCGAGGTTGGGATATTACAGAATCGTAATCCGTGTTAGGCCTACAGGTGATACATTTTATTATTCTCAAAAGGAGATGGTTTAAAATCGCCCCAACTGTGAAGAATGGAGAGGCCAAAGGACATCAAAAAACTTTCATGAACAAATCTCTGGTCCGAACGGGATAGGGGCTTTAATCAGAAACTGTGAAAGAAGATATTTAATAATATTAATTTTGATAACTTACCAGAGCGGACAGGATACCGGCCTGTCAACAAAGCAGCTCTACTCGGCGTACAGACGCTTGCCGCCGCTAGATGGTGTGTCAACTTCACTCCCTCTTGCATCAACTGGTCGATGTGGGGGGTCGACAGCGTTGTGTTGCCAAAACCACTCAGATCTCCGTACCCGAGGTCGTCTGCTAGCATTATGATGATGTTCGGTGGCCTGTTGGTGGCGCTTGTAGATACTTTTTGACCAGCGACTAGGCCAATCAGAAGAATGATGTGATGAGCTGTTGCAGTTCCCATGATGCCAGTCCTACAATTAGTGAAAGGAAATTTATTCTTTGAAACCTTCCCAGCTGATTTAATTAGATAGTGTCGGAGATTATTTTCGAGAGATCACTGAAATTAAAGACAGGCGCGTAGCTACCATGTAAGCCAATAACCCCGGGCTTGCACATGATTTTGACAAGTATAGGTTTTCATGACATTATTTTTTCTTGCTGAGACTATAAAGTGGAGTTTAAGTTTTGAATATATAGTATACATATGTAATTCCTCAGATATGATACAGTGTTAATAGTTAGTACAAAAATGTATGAAGTTTAGAAATGTCCATTGCATTAATGGACAGTTCCAGGCGGAACTAAACAGCTCGATTGAGTAAATTGAGAAACTCACGCCTGGCGCAAACGACTCCGAGTATGGCACAGTGGACACAGACAATCATTGTGGTTTTTTTTATGAAAATATCAATTTGGGGCACGTTCGGCCCCTTTTGCCGGGGCACATTCGGCCACCCCGAATGCAACTGTTAGTGTGCAAAGTGACGTCACTATTGATAACGTCACCCAATTGACCACAAAAATAATATTTTTACGTCGCAAAAATTAAGTATTTTTTTCTTTGTATTCACTGATTTGTTCTGGACTTATTTTCCAACA